GGCCCGTCTGGTTCGGGAACAAGTTTTTAGATCTGCGGAAGCATCGCAACGATTCGGGCCGCACCGACCACAGCGAGGGGGCCGAGAGCTCCGAGCCGGAGGGCGCTCGAGGAAACTCCTCGCGGGATAAAACTTCGCGAGGGACTCCGAAACTCCGAATATGGACAGCGTGTGCCTCCAACCGCTACCTTCGGAAGCGACACCCATATGATGAGAGGAGCTCGGAGCTAGAGGCCACCCACAATTCTATCGTCTACCACTTCCAGTGGGTTTGTTTTTCAACGTGAAGCAAATCATTCAGTTACGTTTTCTCGACGGCGTTCGCGAGGACCGTCCCTTTGAAGACGAACATTTCGAATGGACGACCCGGGAACCGGTCATAACCGAGAATTCCCTGTGCATCGAGTCGCCGCTTTCTCTCGACTCCTGATCCGGAGAAACTGATTGAGCTTGCAGCTTCCGAACGACGAGTTGCAGCAGATAATCAAGCTGTTCAGCGACGAATGTAGCGGAAAGCTCGCTCGCCAACCCTAATAACAACTGAAGCGCTATTCGTAGTCGAGCTGTGAAGAGCAAACGAGATTAGGAGAGAAAAACAAGCGAAAAACCGAACCCATGACTGTTGTCACGGAGGATCAGGACGACAACACGCTGACCGAGAAAGCCCCAACGCGCGCAACGAAACAGAAGCGGCTCATGCCACCTCTGCCTAAGGAGTTAGAACTCAACGGGAACTGATTAAGGCACGAGTCGACGACACGAAGAGGGAACGGATCGGAGTCTCCGATTGAGGCTCCCCCTCTGTTCCTTCTCAAAATCCAAGTCGACGAGACGTCGCTGATAACGTCGAGGCAGACCCGTTGCGAAAACGGAATGTCGAAACGAATACCAGCCTCTCAAGCGAAGGATAGGTTCATAACTAGCAGCCACGGATGAGGAAAGTAGTCCTTCCCTTACCAACGATCGAGATATAACAGTTCAAGCAGAAGCAGCTAGAAGCCGCCGAAACATTCAAATCGAAACTTCAGGAAGCCCATTGCGAGATTGACCCCATGAACCATCAGTGAAATCAACACTTGGGCTGGCAGCATGAGCTAGCAGCTGCGGAAGCAACGAACTTTTTCAACAGCGAGCATCGAATACACGCATACTATACGAGCGTGTATAACAATTCGAATTTTCCTAGCGAAGACAATGCTATCGTCGCAGACCGTTTTCTCAGGCAGGTCAATGCTGGAACTACACAGTATGGCAAAAATCCATATGATGAGTCGTCCGACCGAAGCTACTGGATTCTTCTGATCGACAACTCAGGAACCCAATCCATCCTGTCGTCCGTCGCTACATAAACGCTTAGTAGGGACTTCAATCGATGGGCATACAGGAAACGAAGACAAACACGAATTTCACGAAAGACGACAGTGAACAGAAGAGTGGATGCTGAGACGACGACTTAGGCACGAATACTACAATCAACGAATTTTGGACCGCGGAGTATCGATTACAAGACAACATACTCCTACAGGAGGAGTTTCCGCTTCCGTTACCTCCGCCGTTCCTCGTCTTTCCTCAGCCGAGTGGGCAGTAAACGATCACCGTGAGTAAATTCCATAATTGCGGGAAACGATTCCAGAAAATCACAGGATTTCCCAAGATGACACACATAATCCCAATTATTCCTTCGCTGAGGAACTCGCGAATGGAAATCCTCTCTCGCGGTCTATCCATGGAAAGGACCGGGAAAAGATACGAAATCATGCAAGGGATTGGCTATTTCGAATGATATCGGTATTCAGTCTACGGATGCATTTATACATGCAGAGTGCATCTGAGGCGTCCGTCGATCGTGGGGTAGCTCCTTTGTTTCCGCCTGTGCTACCCGCGGTGCATGAAGGTGGCGGCCCGCTCGAGGGGACCGATCGAACAGCCGTCGTGCAACAGATGGCCGATTTCCTTCGCCCGAGTCGGTCCCTGCTCCCTTGCTTCCTGCTCCAGCCAGGCAGCTTGTCGGCGTCGTTCGTCGAAGGCTGAAATTGCCGGGCGGAGAACGGGCAGGATAATCATTTACCACGCACGACGGGCGCCGCCGTCTTCATACCCTCGGAGGCCACTCCCCTCAGATGCCCTACACTCACCGCCCGGGACCCGTCAAAGCAGTGTGATACGGACGAAAGCAGCTCTTTGACCTGATTTCGCTGTGGGAAGAGGGTTCCACACACGGAAAGCTTGAGAAACATCGACGAATATCGACGGAAGCGTTTAATAATCGAGCATCTCTCGAAGCATTCTAGCCCTGCAAGCCCGACCGGAACGCCTCACCACAATGAGAAACCGGTCAGCCGGTCGTATTCCCCCATCTTGGTCCGTGTCCCTGATCTCTTTCTTATCATTCGGGTAACAGCTTTCGTCTCGAGGACGACGAGCTCAGATCCCGGTCTGGGAACGAGTCAGGCACGTCGAACTTCTCCGGGTTGGAGAAGGATCGTTGTTTCGGAAAAGCGCCGCCGTGCCGCTGGAATAATTCGGAGCCCTCAGCGATGTTTGAATACACACGTTCGCGAGTACATCAAACTCAAGCTAAATATTCGAGCGAGGAGTGATGACTTTGACGTGGTTGAGCGCTATCGGACGTAGGATCCATTCCGAGCGTCTAGCCCGGGGCTTAGGATACGTCGCGCGATTCTCTCCGGCGTCCGGGGAGATTGTACACTCACCGAAACCGTACCGAAATTTTGTGCGCCTGGTCGTTCGGGAGCTGGAACCTGACGGGCCACGGTCTGAAGAATGACCCCGTGCCCGCCAACCAGCTGAATGCGGAAGATACTCTTCGCGTTGAAACCCTGCCGGCTTCGTGAAACGCTGAATGCATTCGGCAGGATGGGACCTCTTGAGCGATTCTATGAGCAGCATCATTCACATTGCGTCTGGATTCATCCATTTCATTCACTTTCATAGGTCTGTGATTGGATCTCGTGGCCCGGGGGACATTCATGAGACGACCGCCCCGATTGAGGATAGCCATCTGATGTATTTCACTCAAACGCATCATTCGTTGAGCAGCCTCGTTCAGGGCGTCTTGGCCCCTTCTTCGAGCTGCGCTCCCTCAGAGAATTCTATGACGCGCCCGACTCAGTCAGCTAAACGTTATTTTGAGAAGGGCTCCGTCTCGAGGGCGAGCGTCGTTGAGAGAGAATAAACCCTCTTGGTTTCGAATCCGCGCGCGTTGTCCGGCAGCCACGGAGCCAGCCGGCTTGGTGCGGTGGCGTTCACGGCAAGGATTCATTCTCGCGAATCGATCAAATTTCAGACGGCAATAGGTCGAGCTGCCTCCGGGAATTACTCAATTCATTTGAAAATTGCTCGAGGGCTGCTTCTGGAAATCCTTACGAGTTTCCTTCTTAGGTCCGACCCTCGGACAGATCAACAGCCGAGAGGCCGGCGACTCGACAGCAGAGGGGAGCCTCCTGACCGAATGGCCGGCCTGCCCCTCGACGACCCAATCGAGCGATCGATGCCTCGAAATGGAACGTCGCCTCTGAGGTTTAAGGCCGCTACTGCTGCTGCCGTCGCCACTACGGCCAAGATGGGCTGCACAGACAGCATAACCGAGTTAGTTGAGGTGTACGTCCCGAGTGCCTCGATCGCGGATCCTAGCATGAAATTCACCGTGTTGCGCGCAGTGTGACGGCTCTCCCCAGGTGACAGTTCGTCCGCTTCTCGAGCCGAGTTTTCTTCCTCCGGGAGTAGAAGGCTCTATTCCCGATTGGTGTTCCTCGGAATCTCACGAATCAGCAACGAAAACACAGCTGCCCCAGATTGAGGAATCCGATGCCCAGGTCTCCGATATTTATGTGCTAGCCCTAGGTTTATCTGTGGGATGCCTTTTCAACGACTTTTAATCTTTGAGCGAGACAGTGCCATAGAACGAAATGAGGCTTGTAGCGGGAGCAATAGAAATCGAACTCCAGGCTCAGATACAATTTCACCGATCGTTCCGAAAGGAGTGAGTGAGTGCCTCATCTATGCACTCAAATAAGTTTCATCTTACGGCTGGGAAATTGGCTCCGTGCGAAAAACCGCGGTAATCAGGCCGAGGGTATACGGTCAACGACTTCACGACTCACTGAGCCTGGGACAGTGTTGTCGCTTCCTCTGCCCGCTGGCTGAGCTCGATAAGCGACGTCATCACCCTAATATAAATGTCTAGTGTGTGTGTGCGTAGACGAATCGATCGGAGTCGCTGAGCCCTAGTCTGAGTGAGTGGTGAGGAAACAGGAGCGTCAAGCGAAGACTTGATCAGACGACTCGGTCGGCTGGTGGCTTCTATTATCACCTGATTGGCGACACGCTCGCGGGTGCAGAGCGATTTATATTCCGGATGGTCGTGTCACCAGCTGGAGTACGGCCTAATGTTTGCTAACAAAAATATCTCCCTGTCTTCATAAGTGGGGAGCTTCCCTCCAGAGGCGAAACCGGCGAGGCTCGGCGGCATCCTAATCGGGGACTACGCGAGAGTTCACTTGGTCTCGAGCGCTCCCTCTGAGAGCTTCGGGCGTGCGCTGAAACGAGGTTAAGCAAGTGGACGCAAATAAACGAACGGCAAACGCCGACGGCTGGAACCTCTGGAGGACTCTCGACCGTTCGCTGTGACGCTCTAGTTCGACTCGAACGAACGTGAATCACTTCAACCATCTTCACTGCGAGTGCAAGCGCTTAGACACACCATGGGCTTTCGCCCTGAGTGAGTTTGTGCACCAATCTCCATTGTGAAATTCGCCCTCTCCAAAGAGGAATAAATATCCCTCGGTTCATGAGAATCGGAGCCAGGTTCTTCCTGATGCCCGGAAAGAGGGGTCGCTCCGATGAGCATGGGCCGGGCTGTGCGACGTCTCGAAGAGCACCCATACCATGGCTTGGTGAAATAATTACCATGGTCGGCATACCTCGTACAGAAATGGTCCCATTTTCACCCACGTTAAAACTGAAACCGTTCTTTACAGATTATCAGCACTCTCGGCAGAGGCGTTGAACAGCGTTGGAGAACGGCGCAACAGATACACTGCCCGCTCTTCGGAGTCTTCAGCTGCAAGCTTTGGAGCGGCTGGTAAGATTATGCGATGCACGAGTAGAAGACGTAACTTTTCCTAATTGAGGGGGATCTAATTCCGGTAAGGGGGATCCAGCGAAGGAAGCGTGCTGCCTGGTTCTAGCCTAGAGGCAAGCGAGGAATTTCCCAATGCATTATAATTCGATGCATTATTTGCAACATCGAGCTTGAATTCGGAAGAAGCCGTCGGGAGCTGGCCGCCGACTCAATTCGTGCTTCTTCGCTATCTGACTGAGCTCGGAAGGTGAGAGAACCTTGAGAGAGACCTCTTGTTCTCATCAGGTCATCGAGATCGTGAGAGGGGAGGATTCTCGCTTTCGAACGCTCGGCAGGGGCTCCAGATTTACCATGCAGCTAAGCATTAAGCAGCTGAGTCTGGGAGCCAAAAGAGAGCTTAGAACTTGTCCAGCACAGAGATGAGGCGCGCACATGGATGAGAGTGGATGAAGACGGCAAATTCTCCGTCCTCATCCGCTGGCGGCACGAGAGAATATCTCGAGCGAGTTCGTATCGCCAGACATTTGTATCGGGCTCATGTAAACCACGCAGCGCCCTACGAGTCGACATGTCAACGTAATTAGCCCCCATCTGGTTTCAACTCACGTCACTCAGGACAACGCGGCACGCTCTGACGATTCGAGTCAAGCTCCGATTTCGGAACTCCTCTTCTGGCCTTCCCGACCTGCGAATCTACCGTTACCAGCTACGCTCTCCCCTCCGAATGATACCTTAAATTGATTCTGGGGCCCCAGCCAGTCGGACTCGAGGAGTTTCGAATTTCGAAAATATAGCGCAGCAACAATCTAGAGGGACCATCCGTCGGGTCTGAGTGTCTGGTCGACGTGTGCGATGAGAAAACTCATGCTGATCGATTCTCTTCCAGGTGTAAGCCAATTCGGAATGGCTCGCGGTCGAAAGGGGGGTTACCGGGAACCCGGCCAGAGAGGGCCCTCAGCACTCTTCATCTTGTCTGAGGATAACCCTCTCAGGAGATACACTCGATTCATCATCGAGTGGCCTCCCTTCGAATACGCCGTATTGTTGACCATTATTGCCAATTGTGTAGTTTTAGCTCTCGAAGAACATCTGCCTAAGGGAGACCGAACGCCACTTGCTCAGAAACTAGTACGTATTCCTCTGGAAGATAACCCCCGTTTTTTCCCATCACGATGATAATTACCCGTATGCCGCTCGCTGCATCTACGCGAATTATTCGAAAGGCCCTCAATCCCCGATAGGCCACGTCGCCTGCACCCTGAACCCTCGTAAATCCGATCGTGAAGTCGTCCATCGTCTCATTTCAGGAAAAAACAGAGCCGTACTTCTTAGGAATTTTCTGTGTTGAAGCGTTGCTAAAGATTCTAGCCTTAGGATTTATTCTGCACAGCGGAGCGTACCTCAGAAACGTTTGGAACATGATGGACTTCGTTGTTGTTGTTACGGGGTAAGTGCAGGCGAAATCCACACGAGCAACGGGAAGGAATAGCGGTGATGATGATTCTCCCGCTGTCCCCCTTCTTATTACGAATCATTATGATTATCCGAGAGCGACTTCTTTGGGCAACGCTGGAGCTGTACGTAGGGCAGTTTCGTCGGATCCGATACGGATTCCTTTTTTCATGGCTGCGCGATCCAGCTGTACGTTTCAGAGTCGCTTCCGATGCTTCCAGTGTAGATTTCTTCAGGCGTTTCTGTAGGCAGTTCTATCGAGAAGGGAGGTCTATCCAGGGGAACGACCGAATAGGCAGCATTTCCTCGTCCAGGCAAAAAGATGGAGGCGTCTGTCTGTATCTATCTAGAGTCTAGAGCCGATGGTACTTTATCATTCAGTCAGTCAATCAATCAATCGATCTACCTTCCGCAGCGGGGCGGCCTCGGGAGCGATATGGACAATCACGAATTCATCAGACTAGAGATATGGTGCTTTCGTGGAATGCATGGTGTCGGATCATCGATTAGCCATCGATGTTTTGAATTGAGGAGGGAGCGTGGCCAAAATCTATAAATCGTAGAGCAGGTTCCCTGCAAGGAAGAGACGACAACGGAGGGCTCTTCCATCGAGATGACACCATAGATCTAATCAGACGACGATTCGCCCGTTGTGCATTGCAGTTTATTTAGTGTTTGCGTATCAGAGAGTGCGGACTTAGATCTTCGGATGTTACGGTCGTTCAGAGTGCTTCGGCCCCTCAAACTGGTCTCGCGTACCCCAAGTAAGCGTCAATTAAGGTTGGCGATTGAGACTCTCCCCCTGCGTATACCGTCATAAGGATGGTACTGCACGTACCTAGCTCTGACCCTTATGAACCTCCACGCTCAATCCCGATCGATCATGATGATGATAATGACTGATGTCCTGTCTGATGATTGACTGATGCCGATATGTTGATGAGGACAACGTGTTTGATTGCCATGGATGACTCGAATTCACAATCGCTGCTACCATTGCTGCTACGGTTGATGCTCTCCTTCTTTATTACGATTCTTTATGAGTACGGTGACTCCTGATGATTGGATTTGACACCTAAACAATCTTCTCGATCCTCTCGTTCTGGCTAATATTCTATTTTCGTCGTGATCTTGGGATGGTTATACATAGCGAATTTTCGAAAGCCATGTTAGCTGATAGAAACGGAAGCGCCTGATTGATTATGATGGTGATGATTATGACGACGATAGTCTTGACAAGCGAGCTGCAGATGGTGATGATGATGATAGCGATGATAATGTTTGGGGAGGAAAATCGATCTTTGATTCGTTGATAGGTTATTGGTCGACCTACTCTATCCGAGAATGTGTAATGTGCTTAGACGAAGGATTCAGGCTAATGAGTTGAGTTGAACTCGCACAAAACGTTCTTCTTTGTCTATCGTTTCGAAGTGCAGCTGGCCACTTAGCTAGCGTTTGAGAGTGAGTTCCTTATGAATGGTAGTTGGCTGCATAATTTATGTTCATTTGCAGGTTTGTAACGTATATTATCCCGGACAACTTAGATCTAGATTTACGAACGTTACGGGCGATCAGGGTTCTTCGCCCGTTAAAACTAGTGTCGGGGATTCCAAGTAAGTCCTTCATCAAGGACTTCTAAAGCTCTCGTCTGTCTTCGTGAGCGTCCTCTCCTTGAGGAGGAAACGAAACATATTGGAAACCATTTCTGTCAGCCTTCCGAAGGGAGGCCGCTCCGAAAAATTCCGTCTCGTCTCATGACGACTTTTCCTTTCGCTAATATTTTCTCGGTCGGATCGTTTCGAATTCTCCGCTCCTACTCGGTCGGGAGCACCGGCAGTGCATCCACAGCTGGCGCATTGACGCTCTTGCGGAAATGGTTTTCAAAATGGATGCTCGAATTTTCTCCTTTTGGTGTCTCTCCTTCACATCCGTCTCCCTCTCGTTTATGTTGGATTCTTGATCTGAAACCTGGTAGCTCGATGATTCCGAATTTTTCTTCATGCGCTTCGATCTCACTCCGATCGTGCATCGATGACAATGAGCAAAACAGTTTCTCAACTTGCACGTGTGGACCCGATATGAAGAACCCCGGAAAATCTCGGACTTCAGTATGGAATAGACCCGGCGCCAATCACCGAAACCTGCATGCGGGAAATTCGAACGCGCAGTCTGCCTCGAGCCTAGCAACCGATAAATTCCACCTCATCCCCCGTGCATTGCCTAAGTACTTCGGAGAGAAACCGGAATCACTCGAATTTCCTCGCAGGTCTTCAAGTCGTCTTGAAATCCATCATCAAGGCGATGGCTCCTTTGCTCCAGATCGGATTGTTGGTGTTATTCGCCATTGTTATCTTTGCCATCATCGGTCTGGAGTTCTACAGTGGGGCCTTGCATAAAACCTGTTATAGCCTCGAAGATCCAGGTATCGGCAAAGTGGCCTTATCTATCGGATATATTTATCTGACGGCCTCATAAATTCCAGTTTCTCATCACCCGATTTCAAAACTTTCCCGGAAACCCTAACGCTGTGCACGATTTCTGTCCGCAGCTGAAATTGTACCTGAAGGAGAACAAGAAACACCGTGTTACGCCTATACCGTGGCTGCTAATGTGCCGAACGGTGCCTTCAAATGCGACAACACTACTTCCTTCTGTAAAGAGGGTTGGAATGGTCCCAACTACGGAATCACGTCCTTCGACAACATATTCTTTGCTATGTTGACTGTATTTCAATGTATTACCATGGAGGGTGCGTATGGTGAAGTCTCGACACCATCAGACTCAATTTCCGTTTTGAATTAGTCAGACCTGCCGTGCAGTTTGCGGATGAGCTGCTAATCGATTATGTGCTTCCCCCAATCTACAGGATGGACGCAAATGCTCTATTGGACTAACGACGCCATGGGAAACGCTGTGAACTGGATATATTTCGTACCACTCATAATATTAGGATCCTTCTTTATGCTTAATCTTGTTCTCGGTGTACTCAGTGGAGAATTCGCCAAAGAAAGAGAACGAGTAGAAAACCGTCAAGCCTTTCTCAAAATTCGACGCCAGCAGCAGCTGGAGAGAGAACTTAACGGTTACGTTGAATGGATCTGCAAGGCAGGTGAGCGTAATCGCGACTGTAGGATTTGGACTAGCATTCCCACTATTCCGATTTTCTGGTGAGCTTCCTGGGTATCAGGAGTTTCGAGATGAGCCCGCGTTTCGGAGAGCAAAACTTCTGAACCGCTACTAAGCTGCCATCCTCGCAATCATAATGATCTCAGTAAGACCGCCCGATGAACTTAACATCTCGTAGAATCTCGACCGAGGCGTCAACCCAAGGAGCATAGCTCAATAATTCCTCTCTGTTTTGCAGAAGAAGTAATTCTCAATGAAGAACGAACCACTGAGGAAGAGAGAATGCATATCCTTGAAGGTAAATGCTCGACTTCTTCCGATATGTTATCACCTCATTATCACCTTATCACCCGCGGTGCTCTTCATGATCACAAGATGGTCTCATCCAGCATACGGCAAACATTCTCCATCGTTTCTCTCTAGCTCGTCGCAGAGCAGCCGTCAAACGTAAGAAATTGAAAAGTATGCATAGCAAATCGACTGACGAAGAAGAGGACGACGAAGAAGAACCGGAGGACGAAGGTATGTATGGGTGATTCGGTGCATTCCAACTCAATACTCAAAATGGTACTTCTGGGAACAAACGAGGTCGAATGGGCGCAAACTCACTCTAATCACACGCCTTCTCTTGGCTTGACACCGCCGACCACGAAAATTTCTGAATTTGACGGTCTCAGCATCACTTTGTGGAAACACTTTCAAATTTTAATAAGAGCTCTTCTCTCTACCAACACGCTGCTTCCTCTCTCACGCGGACCTTGCAGATTCCGAACCTGGAGGTAAAATCATTCAGCCAAATTGAGTACTCAATGTTTCCATAAATGTTATCGTCTGGTCTGTATGCTCTCACCCCGCCTCTCTGTTGTTCGTCGAGCGCTCAATACACCGAGCAATTTTTCCTCTGCTTGCTATTGTGCGCTCCAAGAACTCATCTGTTCATCACTTCGGTCAGAATATTCCGACGTACACTGCAGTTTTGTAGATGTCCTTTTGGTCTCGGCGCGGTTCGGCGCTGTTTTCCATGCCCGACCGCCCCTAGATGCATTCTGCTCATCATCGTCTTTTCATACGTCGCTCGACTAAGTCTCACAAAGCAATCTCGATCAATAGATCAGTCGATGTATCAATCACATCACCCAGTCTAAACCTATTCACATTTTCGCTGTCTTCTCTTCGGATGGAGCAGACTCTGAAACTGGAGGAGGTAACAAACACAGTTGTTTCTGGCTTATGCTACCACCTCCCATAGTCCTACCTGATTTGGCTGACCTCTCACTTCCCCCTGGCAGCAAAAAAATATCCGCCCCCGGCTCTCCCACCTCGATCCGGATCTGCCCTACGAGAGGAAGCAGTCTTTCGCGAGTTTTACGAATCAAGCAAGGGGGGAAGGAATACATCTTCGACTCGCGACTCGCCCTCTGCGGGCTCAGCCTTCGGGTAGCGATTTGTCTAAAGCTCAGACTGAGTTTCCTGATAACACGTTTCCTGTGTACTTTTGGCCTTGAAAGCCAGAGGGCAAGGGGCTGTCGTGGAGACCTTGGTTCCTGGGCTTCTTCGGCTGCCCAGAACCGCTGATGGGCGGGCTCGAGAGGATTCGGTGGTCCAATGATGATAGGGATGATAGGTCAATGAAGAGAAGTAAACCGCGTAAAGGAACGTGTATCCGTATTTAGAACGTATCCTCTGGCTACCATCGAGTCTGCGAGCTCCCTCCGTAAGATGAATTCGCGCATGAATACACGCGATGATCCTGGGGCGTGATTCGCAATATCGAGGAACTGACTGCGTATTGATTAGCTTGACCTGTGAGACCGAGGATGAGCAGCTGCAGCAACAGAAATAACAGAATTGGTTATGGCGGCCGCGAGTTTATCTTCCCTCTGTAAAATATGGAGTTGGGTCTAACGATTAGCATCTCTCTCCCTCCGACTTCCTTTCCTGCGGCCGCGCCTCGCCTGCCGTCTCTCTGGCTGCTTCACCGACGAAACTGTTCGCGTCTGCGACTGCCTTCCGTCCGTGTGCGGATCCCCCTACCACATACCTTCCACAAAACTGAAAATCATCGGGCTTACATCCTACGTGCTACTCCAAAACCGATTCCTTCGTCCACCACTTCCGCTCAATGTGACCTCGATTTCCGGGAACTGCGCTATCGTCGTCCCCGCTCTGCGTTCTCCTGCCCCGCTATATCCTTTCTCGACGAGCCGCTCCTCGGACTCTCGTCTCTTCCTCACGTTCTATGTACCCTGACTGAACTAATCTCTGCTGGATCTCACTAACACGTCAATCACACTTTCCTGATCGATTCGGATCAATCACCCCTGCGCATACTGTATACTTTCTGACAACACCGATATCGTCACTACACCGTCCTCTTCGACCGTGTCTTACATTGCGAATACCACCTGCGAGGGCTCCGCAGATCTAACTCCTAGGAAGGGTGTAAAGCTAAAAGGTACTTGGAACCGACGGATGTCAGTCTTTTTATTCCTTGAGCTCATATGAATAGCGTGAGCACCGATTGAGAATGCCCATATCGAATGGACCCTCACTCTCCCTATATGGAATGGCGGAATGATTTTGAAGCTCGGTCGATATGATTTTTATCAAATGTTCCCGAAGATCTGCATATAAATCGAGTGGAAACTTTCTCTATTCTTTGTCGATTTCAAGGCTCTCGAAACAAAATCGGATAATTTTTTCCCGGGTTTGTAGTCTCCCTCGACCGCGATGCGGGCGTTTATGCGGGAGCTCCTCCATCTGTTCCCGAGAATGCATGTGCGGGAACTCCCATGATGCGAAAAGACGCAATGATATGAGTGCCTTATCAGCATACGAGGAGAAGGAATTTCCCCGGAGAAAATTGGGGAAGCTTCACTCCTCCTGAACCTCCGGTACCCCGCGACTGATCTTCATGTGAAATCTATCTCGAGTTTAGTCACTCCGTCTTCGATTGCGCCGATATGGGGGCTCATATTCGATTCCTCGGATAGTTCGAATATTGTGATGCGCAGTATGAGCCTCATACTATGAGGTCGCTCCAGGAAGGAGCGACATTGCCAGGCTGAAGTTGTCTAGGAGTTCACGCGGTGGGAAGGGGATCGAAATGCTCAAACAGATAGATGAGAAGATATATCTGCATCCCAGTCGTCTCTTCCTCGTTGCCTTCTCATGAGCGTTTCTGCACGGAACCCATGCCGTATTAGTCGCCGAGTAGGTTGCACGCTTTGCATCATATCCAGTCGTGCCTCACGTGTGCAATACAATTTACTCAATTAATGATCTACAATCGCAAGCAAAGCGTGAGCTCACAGACTCACTGAGCCTAAATGGAGCATGAGGTGGCCTTGCTCGTGAGCTCCTTCAGAAAAGCGGAGCCTCGATTGACGTTTCTCCGATATCTTTGATCTAGGTTTCGCCAGAGCTTCCTACTTGAAAACCAAGATGAAGAACAAGGGAGCTTGTAAAGCTTTCTGGCGCGCAGAAAAACGCTTCAGGTGAGGTTTCCGGGAAAAATTTATGCTCTCATCCTACCTATGTAGAACAGAATCGACCCCCTTCCTCCATGAATCCGTACCTCGCGTGCGCTGCCTTAGATAAAGATACAGGGAGCAGCAGCACGGTAATTTCACATTTGGCGTGTTCCAGATTCATGATTCGCCACGTTGTGAAAACTCAAACATTCTACTGGATCGTGATCGTTCTTGTGTTCCTGAATACAGCATGTGTGGCCGTAGAACACCATAGACAGCCGCAGTGGCTCACGGAGTTTCTATACTATGCCGAGTTTGCCTTCCTTGGACTCTTTATTTTCGAGATGTTAATCAAGGTATACGCGCTCGGACCTCGCATTTATTTCGAGTCGTCCTTCAACCGATTCGATTGCGTGGTTATCGCGGGCAGCATTTTCGAGGTGAGTGTTCATGCTGGAGAGGAAGAAAGAACTCCTCGATCCGAGTCCGCTGAAACCAAGGTAAAATCTGAAATTATCCCCCTCGTTCCAGGTGATCTGGTCATCCTTCAAAGAAGGGTCATTCGGTCTCTCTGTGCTGCGTGCGTTGCGTCTGCTGCGAATTTTTAAGTTCACCAAGTACTGGTCATCTCTGCGCAATCTTGTGATCTCACTGCTGAACTCCATGCGGTCCATCTTATCGCTGCTGTTTCTGCTGTTCTTGTTCATACTAATATTCGCCTTGCTGGGAATGCAGCTTTTCGGCGGCGTTTTCAACTTTGCCGATGGCACGCCACCTGCCAACTTCAATACGTTCCCAATCGCTCTGCTCACCGTGTTCCAAGTGAGTTGCCCGGAAGAGTTTCGACCAGAGTCGCCCGTATTCATCCCGGTGCCCCCTCAGGATCGGGCCCCGAATGGATGGAGGGAGCTGCCAGAAAATAATGTATTTACGTTGTTTCAACCCGCAGATTTTGACCGGTGAAGACTGGAATGAAGTGATGTACAGAGGAATCCAGAGTCAGGGCGGAATCGAAGGCGGAATGATCTACTCATTATATTTCATCATCCTTGTCTTGTTCGGTAATTACACCCTACTGAACGTGTTCTTGGCTATCGCTGTCGACAACTTGGCGAACGCGCAAGAACTAACCGCTGCTGAAGAAGAGGATGCGGAGGAAGAACGCGAACGGGCAAAAGAAGAACTAGAGAAAGAAATGGCTGACCTACAAAGACGCAGTCAAGCCGGCGCCTTGGATCCACCCCAAGTCAACATATGCCCTCCGTCACCGTCGCAGAACTCCGCATCAACCCCCGCCAAGACCAAAAACTTCAGCTTGTGAGTTGACGAGTCCCTCCATAATTGTTTGACGTTTTTGAATAGCTGGGAGTCCCGGTATTCGATGCGCGCTTCCCTCAAATCAAGCTCTCATCTCCATTGCAGTGACAAGGATGGATCAGCTGAAGCAAGCCTCAGCCTGCGGGCGTCCAGGAGCTTAGAGAACGGTGCGAGCGTTTGATTGTTATACCGATCCCTATTCATATCTCGGGGTCGAAACTCGTCGAGAATCCCCATGTGGCCCAATTTCCTCACTTTCCTCTACTTGAATTTGATGTGCGAATAATGTCTCTCTCTCTTATTGCAGATGAAGACGAAGATGAAGAGGTTACGGGTCCAAAACCCATGCTGCCATACTCTTCCATGTTCATATGTACCCCGACAAACCCGTGAGTTCGAACCATCCGTCATGGGTCCAGAAAATCCCCCCTGCAATGACTCTCATGAACAGCTGACCTAGATGACTTCATGGGCCGTCTTCTTCTTACTGAGCTTCATCTTCCAGGATACGCCGAGCAGCTCATTTCGTGGTGAACCTGCGTTATTTTGATCTGTTCATCATGGTCACGATCTCGATGAGTTCCATCGCTCTGGCGGCAGAAGACCCAGTTGACGAAGAATCGTCTTCGAATACGATACTGAATTACTTCGATTACGCCTTCACTGGCGTCTTTACCGTAGAGATGATCCTGAAAGTGTTGGACCAAGGGGTGATATTGCATCCGGGCTCATATTGTCGAGATCCGTGGAATATTCTCGACGCGATCGTTGTCATATGCGCACTTATTGCATTTGCGTTTGCGTGAGTCTCTCAAGTGCTCATACGTTCAATTTGATCCGTGAACTCGCTGACCGCCCCTGCATTTGAGCAGCAGAAATTGGAAGCAGCTCCCATTCCATGAGTAGGATGATGATGAATATATGCAAGTTGACATATGCGGATCTTACCTTTCAGCGGGAGTTCAACCGGACAAAATCTCAGTACGATAAAATCACTTCGAGTCCTTCGGGTGCTGCGTCCTTTGAAAACCATTAAGCGAGTGCCTAAACTGAAAGCGGTGTTCGACTGCGTGGTGACATCGCTGAAAAACGTATTCAACATTCTCATTGTATATATTCTATTCCAATTCATCTTCGCCGTAATCGCCGTGCAACTATTCAACGGAAAATTCTACTACTGCACCGACCACTCGATGCTTTACGAGCGAGAGTGCCAGTGAGTGATCTATTCGATTCCGTGGCGGCTTATCCGAGCTCACTCTCATATATGTAAAAACATGGCGCAGATCGCAGATTCCATATACTCCCTGGCACCATCGAGACCGTTTAGCCTTCAATACTTAAAACTTGCTTAACTCTCAAGGGGTGAATACTTTCAATACGGGGACGCTCGAAGACCCCCAAAAGTAATGAAACGTTATTGGAGACGTCAGGACTTTCATTACGACGACATATCGGCTGCCATGTTGACGTTGTTCACGGTGCAAACAGGCGAAGGCTGGCCCCAGGTAAGGCTCGCAGGCGAGCGGGACTCCCGACTGCCGATTGTAACCGAAGGCTCCTTCCCCTCTCCCGCGAGATCGCTTCTGAACGGAGGTTGCCTCGATGTTGAACTTCAGGTACTGCAAAACTCGATGGACTCGACGGACGAGGACAAAGGCCCTGTGCCTAGATATCGAATTGAAATGTCCCTGTTCTACATTGTATTCTTCATCGTGTTTCCATTCTTCTTTGTGAACATTTTCGTTGCCTTGATCATCATCACATTCCAAGAACAAGGTGAAAAGGAACTTGAAGAAGGAGAACTGGATAAAAACCAGGTGAGAGGCTCATCGCTTTCTATTCATGAACTCCATATTCGAAATTCTTTCTATAAGCGGAAAAAGCGCCGAATTCCGAAGATGCGCGAGTCTCCAGCGAATATCCTGCTTGAACGGTCGAGAAGCTTGACGAAGAATCCTCCGGAAAGTAGCTCGAGTTCAGAGTGAAGACGCGTGCCTTATCTTTCAGAAATCGTGCATAGACTTCGCGATTCAGGCAAAGCCATTACAGCGCTACATGCCGAAAAACAAAGAAAGCGTCAAATATAAAGTTTGGAAAATTGTTGTTTCAACACCATTTGAGTATTTTATACTCGTACTCATCGTACTTAATACCGTCCTGCTCATGATGAAAGTGAGTACAGCGTCGAACCGATCCCATCCCAACACACGAAACGCATGTCTTGATGCGGAGGTGGTGAAGAGCATGGCATCTTGAGCATTTGTCCCAGCCCGCATGACCTACCCGAGATTCATTCACCCGTCCCGACCGCTCGGTGTGGAGTTCTCTCCGATTCCGAGCCGCCGCCGGACATTTCGGCTGGTCGGGTTTGTCGAAACGAAGTCCGTTCTCTGCGAAAAAAGAAAAGCCCGCGCTACCTTCGACGGGGCCGGTCGATGCAGACTTTCATCATTTCGAGTGGAATTCTGTGTGCTTATGCCCGATCGATCCGGGAAGTAGATTTCGGAATTTATCGATGAGATCACGGCTTCGTTCCGACAAATCGAGCATACCCCACCCCAGTTCACTCTTTCTCTCGTTTCTCAATAGTTCCTTCAGTCTCTTCTTGTTGGAACTTCTTCTCTCAATGAGAAGCTCCTCCGGCGGGTTCATTTCGGAACTCTAGCGCATTGTGAAGCTATTTTGAATCGTCAAATGAATAGCCGTCGGATAAGCGTAGTCGCTCTAGCATTCGATCAAAAAAGCTAGCTTGAAAAACGGAACAACGCCTCCCTAATCATGAAATCGAGATCTATCGCTCTTCGCCCTGACGATGGCTACCTATGAGCCGGAAGTCTGGCACATGGTCCCAAATGCATCCTTGAGCGGACGAAACCTACCTGCCCCTTCCTATTCCTTCTCTGTCCTCACTTCATATACTTTATCGAAGTCTACTTTTCTGCGGAGCAGACGAATTCCTAACGGCGTTTCTCGGTCAACCGCTGTGAAGCCGGTCTTCGGCAGAATTCACCCCATTCCCCCGGTATTCTACACAGCGAGCTTAGGGAGCTTCAAGGCGGCATTCTTATGATTTCCTCTCACTATCTTCACTTTCACACTAAGGGAGCCCCCAGGCGAAAGATAGGAGCTTCATCTGACTCTTGCAAAATTTTTCGCGGATGGTTTAGACTATCGGGCATTCATGTAGGAGATATAGTATCGAGTCACTTCCGAGTTAGCGGAATAGCGTACGCGGCACCTTTATACTGCGTAGGTGACGCCTCTTCTCATCTAAAGAGTCGCTCTCGACGAGATTAAAGCCAGACTTGAAAGCACACTCGGTCGACTCAATTCTGATTCAGCGTAGGAATTCATCCGAAAAAGGAGCTACTAGACTCTAGGCCAGTATGGTTGATGCGACTAAATTTAAATGGAATTTTCTCTCCTTCTCGCTTCATCCTCCATCTGACTGCTGTCATTGCGACCATGATTGATTTTGACTGGTTCTCCATCACGGCGACACCACCTACAGTTTCACAACCAGAATCAACAACTTACGCGAGTTCTCCATTACCTTAACGCTACGTTTACTGGGCTGTTCACAGTTGAATCGATTCTAAAGCTGGTTGCCTTTGGAGTAAGGGTAAGCGTTTCTCTTCGAAAGTAGGAAGAATCTACGGAGCTTCGCGGACACTTTCTGCGGAGCAACTGAATCACTATTCGCCACTTGTCTCCTCTATGATTTCAAGTACGACCTCGAAACGGTTCCGCTCAGGAAAACTCCCTCTGAATACAAAGCTATGCTCGGGATCCTGTCGAGCCGAGCCCCATAAAATTACCATCGAGCCTCATAGACATCGGGGATTCGACAACGCCTCACAACAACTCACACATACACGTCACAGAAGACAGTATACCATGGGAAATTGTTTGTTCCTTACTGACTCGGGTCTCTCATGAATGATGATGACAATGATTGATGGATCATCATCAAAATGTGGCTGACGCATCTTGGACCATCTCTCTCGGCTTGGCTCTCTCTGTCTGACCGACCGATCAACCGACCGACTGATTGACTAAATATTGAGGTATACGACGAATGGACAGAGCGAGCGCGCAATGTCTCCGACCACAGCGCAGCGAGAAACTCAGGCATCGAAAACGCTCCAAATCAGATCTATCCTGCTTCTCCGCCTTCAGCTCGGCGTTGCAGCCGTCTTCGGCGCGGCGTCGTGGTTCCCCAGAGCGGCCGTCTGCATGCTCCCCGATTCGTGATGATTCCGCGCTGCATTTTCATTCGTTCATCCAAAGAATTCATTTTTACATCCCTGTCTGCATCCATCTAGCCGTCCCTGATCTTGAGAGGCTCAAACCACTTCATTCTCCATTTGCGGATGAATTTCCATTCCTCTATGGAGCTGTATTTAGGCTCCGTAGTTTCGCTTTATAACATGCGCGAGAAACATGACGGTCATCACGACGCCTCAGCCACCAAGCGACGAGCAAACCTCCTATCTATCTGCATGATGGCTCTGATGGTGAGCCCCAGGCTCGCGAGCCTCGATCGCAGCTTGCGCTGACCAGAGAGAGGCTCAAAAATCGCACCTAGGAGAGTATCCGGATCTGAGCTTCTCAAGCCTCCTCCTCCCTATCGTCGCTCATCATCCCATCGATATCTCTATAACGTTACAAAACCTTCATATATAGAGCTCGAATCGTCGAGGAAGGGTCGGGTTCCTCTCGGGAACTTCTGCTGGATGCTCTTTCGAGTCGTGACTGGGCTCTGCGAAAAACCGCTGATTTCATCAAAAACCGCTTGTCTGCGCCAAAGCAGATATCGACTGCGTTTTTTCGCTGTCGCCCATCGCCTTTCATGTCAAAGAAGAACCGCGATTGCGGTTAATGAACGCGGCTGCAAAGCCCAGTCGCCACTTATGACTCGTGATCCGGAGACAAAAAAGCAGATAGAGATCGCCTCAAAGAGATTTGCTACTTGTCTCGGAACCGCTCTTGCTGCTCCGAATCTCCTCATTTGTTACGTTCTCCGTTCTCTTTCGGCATTTGATGATTTATGCATGCGACGAATTCGGGTAAGATGAACGAGAATCGTCGAAAGAAAGTATGTGAACTCCAGCCGAATGTGTGAAATCATGCGAAACTGAGATTTTCGAAATATTCCTAAATGAAATAAATAGCCGATTCCGGAGGCGGAGAAGGCTAGCTGCTATCTTCGTACGCTCCATCGCTCCGGAATTCCCAATCGATAAGGAGCAAGAACTTCAGACTCCCGTTGATAAGACCAAGAGACTTCGGATAAAATCTTTCGATTCTCCCCCTTGATCTCTCTTCTCTGAATCACACTTCGTTTCATCTTCTACTACACTGTAATGTCTGCCTATCATCCCATCGATTTTTCTCTTCATCGTTCGGTACACGAATTAATTCTATGGAGTGTGACTGCGTGGTCTCGGTCAGAGTATTGATCGCAGGCACAAAAATTCCTCTCGTTTTGAGCTATCTACCGATTCCCTCGCTGTAATAACGTCTCGATCTGAAACGTGACGAGCATGCGTCGCTGTGCAGAACGAAGTGTCCTACATCTTTTCCATATGCAGCGAAGTGTTGAAGCATTTTCGAGTGAATTTTGTGTGAAGATCGCGACGAACGTCTCGGAAGCGCGAGAAGGCCCGAGGCTGTTCGATTGGTCGATCGGTTGACCGATTCAATGATCCATCGATCAGGATTCCGTTCATTGGATCAAGCACCTGTCCGGCGTTGTCGATCAGTAGATCAACTAATCGTATGCTCGGTCGGATGCGAGAAGATCGATCCATTGATCGGTCGATCGATCGACTAGTTGGTTGATTAATCGATTGATTGGTTTGCTAGCGAATTTGGTTGAGCGCAGCGCTGTGAATCGTGTGGAAACGCTATCGCTGATTAGATATGTCAGAGATGTTTTTTTCATCGCTCCGTGCCATCGAGTACCATCTCGGTCGAAGGAACGAAATTCGAGGAAATCGAACTGAGACAATGTTTTTATTCCCGACTTCCTCCGTACATTGTCACTTCTCGCGTCTTCCGTCTCGACCTCTGACGGCTACTTCTACTTCTCATGACGACCGTCATGACCCTCTTCGACGACCGTCATGACCCTCTTCGTCGACCGAATATGCCTAATGTGACCAATTTAGTTCCACAAAGCTGGTGAGCTTTTTTCCAACATTTGCGACGGACTTAACTCGGCATTCACGATGCTATTCCTGCTGGAGTGCATTCTAAAGTTCGTCGCCTTCGGATACAAGGTTTGATATCTGACTCGACTAGGTGATATTTCATACTTTTTAGTGGTGTTCAAATCATGAAGTTTTTCGTCTCTAGAATTCAAGCACGCGTTTGCGAAACACCCTTGAGCAGGCCGCTTTTTGCGGTGGGCGCTACAGCTTGGGCTCCTGATTTCCCCGTAGCCGCCTGATTGTCCGGAATATGGAAGAGTGCTCCCTCTACACCGATTGTAATCAGCGAGCGAAGAACCGCAGGCGCTGAAGATCAGGTCAAGATGCAAGCGTTCAGGCGCTAGCAGTCGGCTGCATGGGACTAGAGCGGAACGGGTGCACAAAGCATCCTCCGAGAGTGAGCGACCCCGCAATGGCAGTAGACGTTCTGGCGATTGATTATGCATTCGCAGTGAGGGAAAACTGCGTGAGGCGTTCCCGTCCGGGAGGATATCGCAGTTCCTCATCGAACACTCACCCGAATAGTTTCATCCGCCGAAGAAGTTTCGGCGACCGTCCGCAGACTTTCGGACTTCGGATGATACACCACCGGCATTCACGCGGGAATACAGTGAAAATGATGCTTCCTGCGATACGATTGCACCATGAGTTCGAGGAGAGCCAAACGCGTGAGACCATCGGAGCCGAAGCCACCCGAAGTCGGAAGAGCATCCAAGTGCCCAAACAATGATCTGATATCGTCAGCCACCTTACACAGAACGCTTGGAAACAAAAGTCCCGCGGCTCCGAGACCATAAGATTTAAGACATCATTTCCTCGCGAGGAAGATTCATTTCCGCGCCAAGATATACATACTTTCATACATACTTCATATCATCATTCAGATCATACATACTTCATAACGAATTCGAGAGCCTAGATCTAATCGAGGACGTTTCTGACTGAGTCTTGGAATTTTTCAGAACTTCTTCAAAGATTCGTGGAACACGTTCGACTCTATCACTGTGATCGGGTCTATCATTGACGTGTTGGTTGTCGAATACGGGGTGAGTGAATATCAAGCTACTTCACCGAGAATTTCCCGCCGTCATACACTACTTGTTCCCCGGCTTCGAACCCGGCTTTTTGAGAGCTTCTGCTTTGCCAAATTCCTCGAGCGGCTTGGCTGTGTGTCAAGGGTGTCTCGAGGCTCACCCGTCACCCCGAATTTGATGGCGCTCAGGGAAGATCACGCGAGAGCAATAGAGGAAACTTATCTGAAACCCGAGAGGACAGTGTGTTTGAAGCGCGAGAGAACTTTTTCGTCATTCGGGGAAACTGCTGATGGACTCGGATATTTCCGATGGTGTGAAGGGAGTACCGCCTCTGGAACACGCTCATCGAATTTCGTCCGATTAGACTCGGATTTACGCCAGAAAAAGTTCGTATGGAGATACCCGCTCCACTAAATCGCGTCTTTGATTCCCGCAGCAGAGCATCAGTGGTGCCGACAAAAAAGTAAGATCACGACGAATCTGGACATGAATTTCCAACTTCTCGTTGCATCGAGCACCGACTTTGACGAAAGTTTCACCTGAACTCACCGCGAACGGTTTCTGAGAAGATTCAGGCACGAAACAAAGTCGCAAACTTGTCCGACTCTCGCTGTGTTACTATCTTACTCGTTTTGTTCTGGTCTCGTTCCTCACTCTGACTCATCTGTCCTGTCGAAATGAGATCCGGTGCTATGCAAGTACATGTCTCGAACTCGTATTTCCGCAAGGCGTTCATTGTCATCTGTTCTCGAATCGTTCCCTTCTCGTTGACACGACTGCCGCCGTGTGGTGTACCGTTCGGTTGCGTCACAACCGATCGAGGACCACCTGAGCTTCTTCACTGATATGAGGGGATTATCGCACGACCGGCCCAATCAGTATCTGCTTGGCTCTGACTCTTTGGCTCCCCGGCAAGGGAACGCCTGTATCAGATGAGGAATCGATAGCCCTTGATGAGCAGATTCGCGAACCCGAAGATGCACGAGCCATCGAGCGAAAGTAATCAAGCGAAATCAATAGTGCTAAGGAACCACCTGCCACAAAAGCATGCTTCTGCAAGTTCTCTCCGTAGGAAGACTCTCCACAGATTCTGTTCCAGCAAATACTCTGTACACGCTCTCGGCGAGGGGAACAACACATTGTTGAAAGTTTGAATCGCTTTACAGATTAGTTTCTTCAACGTCGGTTTCCTTCGACTATTCAGGGCTGCCCGTCTCATCAAACTACTGAGGCAGGGTTACACCATTAGAATTCTTTTATGGACCTTCATCCAATCATTCAAAGTGAGAACCACGTTCCGTGTCGAGGAGCTCCGGTCCTCAGATACCTACACGAGGAGGTCAATATCGCGAATCATGCTATTTTCATTCCAGGCTCTTCCCTACGTCTGTCTCCTCATCGCAATGTTGTTTTTCATCTATGCGATCATCGGGATGCAAGTGAGTAGCGATGCAGGCATATTCTAGTCGTTGAATCTCCTTGGATATTCTCGCCCTCACCGAGAGAAGAGCACCCCCGAATCGAGACTCCAGACGACACGCTCGATCTACTGATCGTCTTTCCGTGCTCCTCTCAAGATATTACTAGTGTAGCCCGCTTACCCCGGGTGTACTGACGCGGAGCTCTCGGATCGGATCACTCTTCAAGACTAAGAGTTAGCGTCGAAACGTGCATTACCATTCAGGCGCATGTCTCATCGGAGAGGACAGGATGGACGACTAATAACAATGTATCCTCATTTCGATTTCCCATATGGGAGCGAAATTCCTCTGATATTCATTGCGGGGCTTTTCGCATCGTGTTTATCATGGGCGATGAAATGGCCTGCCTTCGGTTCTGAGGCAAGAGGTTTCGCCGCTAGGAGATATTCGCAGATTCGCCGTACCATAACATGACGTCTCTGCATCTCCGGTAGGTTTTCGGGAACATCCAGCTTGCATCCGACTCTCAAATCACAAGACACAACAACTTCAGAAACTTCTTCCAAGGATTGATGCTTTTGTTCAGGCAAGTCTGGGAGCGACAGATTTTTCCCTACCAGATTCCGTCATTCAATATCTCTTTCTTCGGGTTTCACGACTTTGCCTGAAGAGTAGTAATAGATACTACCAATACTTTTTGTGACATCGTACTTGGGTGGCTGAAACATTTGATTCGAGTCATATTTTGCTCCTGGAATTATCAGTGTGTAGGACGAGGACGTAGCAGAAAATTGGAGGGGGGACCCATCTTAGCTCGGGCAACATCAGAGAACACCGCGTATCGAGGCAAAGAGTAAAAGAGCAGGGATCGAAAATAGAAGGCTTCGTTCGACAGGTGTGCCACTGGAGAAGCGTGGCAAGCCATCATGTTGGCTTGCATAAAAGGACGACCATGCGATTCGCAATCGAAAAAAACTCAATCAGAGTGCGGCTCCAATCTGGCGTACGCCTACTTCGTGTCATTCATATTCTTCTGTTCATTTCTGGTGAGTCTAATCGAGACTGAAATGGCTCGCCGGAATTTCGACCGATCTTGATGCACTTACGGAGACGAATATGGTGATATTCGCGAAGCCCCTTGAAATGTTTCACTTTTGGAGACTGGTAGATCAGCGGGCTGCAAGCTCGTCAGGGTAATGGCCTACGGGAATATCCTTGCAGATGCTCAATTTGTTCGTGGCCGTCATCATGGATAACTTCGACTATCTGACGAGAGACTCATCTATTCTCGGAGCCCATCATCTCGATGAATTCATCCGAGTGTGGGCGGAGTACGATCCAAATGCCACGTGAGTATTTTTTCCCACATGCGAATCCCTTCATTCATACGGGCGCCAGAGAGAAGAGCGATAGGCGACTCATTGGAATGATAACTTCTCTCCACGCAGCGGGTACATCCACTACGCGGAGATGTACGACATGTTGAGGAATATGGATCCTCCCCTTGGTTTTGGTAATAAATGCCCTTACCGGCTGGCTTACAAGAAATTAATTCGTATGAATATGCCTCTGACGGAGGATGGCAAGGTCAACTTTACCTCGACCCTGTTTGCGTTGATCCGGGAGAATTTGTCGATCAAAATGAGATCAGCTGAAGAGATGGACCAAGCCGACAAAGAGCTGAGGGTCACAATTCAGAAGCTGTGGCCACTTCAAGCTAAAAAGGTCACGGACAAGTTTATTCCTCCTGATTCGGGTAAGTCGTGTCCAATATCCTCGCTTATATCGACCCTTCCCATCCCGCCGACTTGCCATCCCTTAGTTAGAGATCCCCTGGCAGGTCTGAATTATTAATTGAATCTGATCCTGTGCCTCGTTTCTAAATACGGGTGCGTCAGTCATAGCCTCAGGGTGTTCAATCTAGAAGGAGCATACGTACATCTTTCGTCGACTCCATCTAAACGTTTAGCCCGCTGACTAGACTCGCCCTCAGCCGACCGATCCGGGAAGCTCTCGCGAGAATCGGGAAAGTGTCCCACATAGCTGAGAAGCACCCAGACCGAGCTTAACTTCCCTCTCGACATTTCAGAGCTGCGTAAAGGGAAATTAACTGTAGGCAAGATCTATGGCGGACTGCTTATTTTAGAAAATTGGCGAACCACAAAGTTCGGACAGATTCCAGGATCTGGAAGTCTCGCGGTAAGTGCTAGAGATGCGTATGCTGATGTGAAACTTCGTTGTATGTACACTGGCCGCATTTTGAGATGTATCTATGGCGGAGAAATTTGCTTAGGATGTACCTGTCATAGCATTTAGCAGCTCCCTGAGCTCCGTCTAGACTGGTGGTGGGATAGTCTTTTGCAACGGCATCAGGAAATGATTGATAGACTCCACTCATTGTCGTCGGTATGGATATTGTTTGCGGACTCGTATCCGGTTTCAAAATGGATGGTCGGTCGGTCCATTGCATTCTGTGTGTCTATCCTCCGCTGGTACTCATCATTTAGAGCAGAACTGACTGTGGTTTAGACTTGACGGGTGTCAATGCTGAAGCGATTTGGATGGATGCTAGGAGAACCGAATGAAGTGAATGCGAAAAGACCGACAACACAGGATGCTGTCGCAATCGTATATGTTCGGGAGCTTCCGATTCCCTCGTTCTCGTGGCCGAGGCAATTTTATACTCAATTTCCGAATGCCTCCGTCGACGTCCGTCGCAGATATGATCCGTCGATACTCCAAGTTCCATGCGGAACGTCTCTTGTAGATCGCTTATGGATCAGTCGGAGAGAGACTAAATTCTTCCTTCTCCCTATTCCCTTTTCAAGCAAAACACGGTAAGACAAGGAGTGCTCTCGAGAACGATGCTAGTTTCCTACACGCCGGCCCGTTTCATTCTCGTTCTTGCTTAGCCCCCTTTCTCCTCTCAACTTGGAAGTCTCCATCATTCGGGTTTTCGGCGTTCGTTGTCCGTTTATCCCGAGCATTCTTGCGGAGAGAAGCAGACATGACAAATCGGATGGGGGAGACGACCATTCTCCGCAGTAGAAACAAAAGCAGCCGTATAAATCCCGAAAAACAGCCGCCACGCCGAAAATCATGGTTTCGGTGGCGATGATATGCATTCTGGAAATCCACATCGACGAACGCCTATCATCTCGAGAGACGCTCCGAGATATGGAGCCCCTTGGTTCCGATTTCATTGAACACAAGGTCGCGTGCATTGCATCATAGTTCGCAGCAATTCATTGGATGATGGTGAACTTTTGGTCTTTTTGTTTGTGTAGATTGATCTATATGTACCAGAGTCCTAGTGCGCTGGAAATCCGTGTGATGTTTGTCCGTGATTTTGATGATGTGATATGTCATGTTATGGCGCGATTCAGGATGATTGAAATGCGGTATTTTGTTGATGGTATGTGCCTGACATTCGGTGGTCATAGACTAATAAGATGGCATCCAGCAATGCAGGCATCGCATCTTCCTCGTACAGGCTGATAGAACACTCTTACTATCAACGGAGTCCGATTTGGATGAAGGGTAATTCAGGAGCTGGCACCCGGGTCGAAAAGTTCATGCGCATCCTTCGAAGTATCCGCACGTGGACGAGTTCCGTTGGAGACACCACAAGAATGTCCCATGAGATCGGTTCATTAACGGCGCGGTCGCTCACCTGGAGAAATGAGGGGACGAAGCGGGAACGCTCCACAGGATCACTGGAGAACGACGACGGTATTGACGCGGGCAGAGCTATGACCTGATCTCGGGCTTTAGCCGCGAAACTGCTGCTCAGGGAATGAAGAAATCAAGGGTTTAGGTAGTCTTCATAGACACAGCGGGAATCTGTCTGCAAGAGAGGCAGCGAGGAATGGTCTACGGACGACCGGGAATAGACTTATACACCCGGAAGGAGTGCCATTGGATCAATCAGGCTACAGCTCTGGTTCAACTTGCAGGAAGAAAAGAACACAGTACAGCAAGCGTCCTCTCCGGACTCAGCCGTGGTATTTATCTTTATCCACTAATACTACAACTACTGCTCCTTCTACTTTCCCTGAGATCCAATCGAAGAATCTGACTGAGTTATGAGCCTTTGTTTCTTCTGCTGGCAGTGACTTTCTCCTCTTCCGCTCCTGTTAATTCTTATCTCCTCGGTGTTGATTATGAGGATGTCGATGTTACTATCCATCTTCTTCTCTTCCTCGATTTTCTTGCTCCTCCTGTTCTTCTCGATGTGTCAATATCTCCTCTCCGACTACGTATCACTGACTTGTTGTTGAAGTCCAGCCGCCGCCACGAGTGGTTTGTTCCACCGCGTCCGAGTGCCTACTGTACTGACAAAGTCCCCTTTGAGTTCCTCCGGTTCGATCCCCGCAGATCGCTAATCTACACATCCTATCCGTCGGGTCCTCAGAAATATTCACATCCCCTCGACTCCGAATTTTCCCGCCCATTATTGTGACCGCCCGCGCTCCCCCTCCCGATCGTTCCCGCCGACATAGCTATGGGCTGTGATTCTGTCTCCGAGCGCAGAAGCTGAATCAATACCACCCTAGTCGGGCTTAGGACCCATGGGGAGAATCCTTTGGTCCCTCACGTTTTGGAGATTGGGTACTCCTCCGTGGGCCGTTGTTTACAATTCGTCGCGTAGGATCTTTTAGGAAGTAATTTTGTAATCATTGATGTTTCCTGCTAATCATCTGGAAATCGTCGTCATGTTGAAGAGGCTCGTCTGAGCGAGAATAGGGAATCTTGGGAGGCCACGGGGAAGGAGGCGAAACGGCAAATCAATCGAACCCCCTCGTCCTGCGCGATATCGAGGGTCGTTTCTACGAGGGTCACTGTCCTCAATATGAGTCTCCGTTGATGTCATCGCCACCGCGAGCTCGACGAAAACTGATCGCGCGCGGTCCTAGCGATCGGCCAACGCACGCGAAACTATGCATGTCCTGCACGATGAGCATGTTCCGTGAATGACAGAGGATCATGCATGTGAGGTCGGCCCTAGAGCATTGCTTCGAGAAGTGTTCGTAAGAGTGTTGCATCCATCGCATCCCCATTCGTGGTGTCGTGACTTCGAGTTCAACTCCTGGAGTCGAAGCAATAGATCGAATCATTGATTGATTGGAACGTTTTCTTCTTGTCCCTATCCTCGAAAACGCAGCGGCCTTCCTTGTTGCAACGCCTCATGGGTGCTGTGCGAGATACGAATACTCGTGCCTCGCATGGGAGCCTCGAGGGCCAGGGATCTGATCCCGATGGAGAAGGAAGATTTGCCGACGGAGATCACGGACCCCACCACCTACGTGGCGCTCTTGGACGCCACGAGGGTATGCAGGGCCGCCAGAGCCATGAAGAATCTGCGGAGCACTCGAGTATGCACTCATCGTCACATTTAGCCACTCCGATTAGGCACGGCCAGTCCGGCGCCCATCGTGCGAGCCTCAGGTCAGTTTTGATATCGGGAAGGCACGTGGTTTCCTCCTCTACAGCCCATGATTCTCCAGATTCCGCGGAAGAGGACCTCCTCTCTAATCGGGCGTTTCCTCTTTCAGCATCGACGCGCAAGGAGGGCAATATGACAAGCAGTGGAATCGGTCGCTCAGTTTCCTAAGACGCGGTAGTAGCCGTCGAAGGCGTAGAATGAGCGTAATTCAAGCCGCCGTGCAGGTGTGTACGCCGAGGTTGACGTCGAATTCCCAAGATCAGGAACGATTCCCAATCAATGCCATATCCCACTATTTGTGGAACAATCCGTGCCGGAAACAAGACGGAATCAGGTCGCCACGAGACCATCTGCCCGAATCTGTGCGGTCGAGACAGGAGAAACATCCACAAGTCACTCTCGTAGATTCACGCCCAAATAATAATCGTTCTAACCACTCGGGCATGTGGGCACATGCTTCGACCACCGATTCCAACCTACAGCTGTTCTCGTATCGAGAAGAGTATACTATAGCATGTAGATCGGCATGAGCACGTTCCATTCGCTAGCCGCTGAGCCGAGCGAAGCATTGTAGTTTCTCAGGAAGAAATCCTGAAGAAACACGAAACGGTCCGGGGTCGAGAGCCGGAGCGGGCTTCAAGCTGGAACAGATGAAAATACGCGGCGCTTTCCCGATAATGATCCCGCGATCGAAGGCGGTCCGCAAAAGCGCTTCTAATTCCGTGGAAGCTTCTGAAGTTGGCCGTCACCAGGATATTTGGAATAGTGCATACATAACTTTCGCACTGCCATCGCTTTGGCAAAAGCCAGAAAAGAGACCGCGGCGCAGTAGAACGCGGAGGAGGTCGGGGAAGCCCTCCTCCGGAGCAGGCTCAATTTCAGCATTTTTTCCAAAACTTTGACACCATCTCTTGCGCTTATTTGCGAAACGTAAATAATCATCCGCTGAAAGCTATACAATCGTTTCCGTATGGTGACAAAGTCAAAATGCTGAAATCGCCCGTGCTTAACTCGAATTCCCAATGCTCCAATCGATGGAGAACAGTACAACGGAACGATCACCTTCTTGTTGTTCTTCTTGCTGAAATCCCCTTCGGGCCTATTCGCGCCGCTCAGTCTCGAAAATCATGATTTATCTCACTGTGTGTAATCGGTGGGAGCTCGAGAATCCCCCTCTAGTCAGTCGGACGGCCGCGAATCATCAGCGTATTGGAAGGGTGGCTAGCGGAGGCACGGTGAGGACTGCGAGACGTGAGCTCGGCAACAAGTTTAGTTCTCTATACAAGCTGTCCTCTTTCTTCGGTTTTCTTCTTCGTCAGGGATCGTAGGATCTCAATCGCCGTCTCCGACGAAAATAATCCTCTCGACTCCCGTGAACTTGTGTTGCCCTCTAGAACAATACCACGGGGTCGATTGGGGGTCCGAACAAATTCGAGCATAACGGCGCCGACGGTAGCTCTTGCTCATGGAGCCAGTATCAGAGGCAGTAGCGCCGCGCTTCGGAGCTTCCTTACCGGCGATTATCAGATGCAGCTTACGTTGCAGACGGGCCCTACGTGGAATGACCTTGTGGAAATGGCAAAGATCGATATAAGCTGACAAACAGCCCCATCTCCACCGAATAGAATTGGGGAGGAGCTCTCAGAACTCCGGGAAATCGGAGCGGCGACGACAACAGCAACACCGGCGGCGACCACGGCTTTACGCCCGCTAACAACGAAAATCCTGCCCCAGACACCCGTCGTTTGTATCGACGGCGGCGCCGGCGAGAACTTGTGTGGCGAAACTTCTTTCTGCTGTCTTCCCGCCGTGAGAGTGGTAAACAATCAGGGAGCGCATCAGCGAACTCTACCGCATTCCACCGTTGATGTGATCGCTGCTGTCGATGAAAAAAAAATGCATTCGATACTCTGCTGTGGGAACTACTGGCTAACCACCGGCTGAAAGTTTTCCGATACTGACCATCTGACGTTTGTAACATCGCTGTACAGATGTACAGCTGGATGAGCGTTTTCCCGATGTCTTTCATCTAACCACTACTCTCACCTCGCCTTTTCTGCGCCACGAATGCTTGACTGACTATTGTACATATATATACTGTGGGAATGAGGATGCTTGTACAATCATCTTCGTTTACATAGAGCTTGATTCGAATTGCCTCCGCATAGAACTAGTCGAAATCGTCAGAAGGCGGTCGACAGCCGCCATGTTGTTCTCCGCCGAGAAAGAAAAACTACTGCTCTATCCAAGATCAAAATATTCTCGCGAATCGATGAAAGCAGCGTGGCAACCGAGTTTGTGATGGCGTGAATGAGCACCGAGAGATCGATTGGGCCGAGGAGGAGACGGCAGAGGAATATTTCGCGGAGTGTCTGTGGATTCCGCTTGATGCTTCACCACAAGTGTGTCACTTTCGCAATGATGAAACGAGAACTTTCCAATGCAATTCTGAGCTCAACTTGAGATCACTGTTGGACTCCTCTGTAAAACCCTTCCCCTTCTTCAGAATGAGACCACATGTGAATGGGGTTGAGCTTCCACTCACGAAATGTTTTTCCAATCCAAGGTGGAACAAATGGAAGCGGCGGCAGCGCAGCAGCGGGTGAGCCACATTGCCCAAAGTCATCACAGCGGACAAATGTCCGGTGAGTTCCGCGCAGCTCTCCTCCGCATTTTTCTCGATGCCGAGGAGTGGAAGTACATCCCGTAAATCCTCCGATAGTGACCCGGGCTTCTATTTTTTCAAATACCTCCGGTGAGGGGCTTCTATTGGAGAAGGGCTACTATTGGAGGGGAGCTCCTAATGTTCAGAGATAAATCTTGCTTCGGAAGAGTGATGATGGATTTCAGGGGTAGAGCGTGTTCCCGGTTTGGGAAGAAATCCTTTGGCACCGCAGTCCAGATTCTATCACGTCAGCTTTTCCCCAGCCGACTTCGGCAGTCCGGGGTCTCCTAGAAGAGAGGGGCTCCTTTTGGAGGAGAGCCTCTTTCGGGGAGAGGCTTCTATTGGAGGGGGGCTTCCAATTTCTCAAAAGCTTCGGCAGGGGGGCCTCTATCAGAGAGGGGCTTCCATTGGAAGGGGGCTGCTATTAGAGGATTTACGGTATCCGAGATTTCCTCGCCACCCGAATCCTTCTCCCCGTCCCCCTCCCCCTGCCTGCCTAGTCCCGGAAGGGTCGAATCGGTGACGTAAAAAATACGGCGACGGACAGAAGGATTGAATGCATTCGGTATCTCAACTTCAAGGTTCGGACTCGGGAGCTCCACACATGCCCTCGAGCCATCTTCACCCGGAGCACAGTCTCAGAGGGCGTTCCCCGTCGCCGCGCCGCCGTGGCTCAATGTCGCCTCCAGACGGACGCCCAGATGGATGTCGGTCTCCTTACATGCGAGGTCGGTCGCCATCGCCCTCGCCTCGAAGGGTGTTAGCAGACGCAGTTAGCGATGTTGTCGACATGGTTAAGTATGAGACCTCAAGGAGAGGACGTGCAAGAGGTGAGTCCACTACTTTTGGGCAGTTAAGAGTCCTGTATCTACAAAAACGTTTCTCTCGGAAGATTTTCTATCCTTCTCCTTCTCTGCGAGATATTGCTTTTTCCCCCCTCGAAGAGCTGATGATTAATAGAGTTGAGTTTGTTTTTCGTCCTGATTCATTCGTGGACTTCATGATGGGTCTTCGACTCGATCATACGAGTTCCTGAATTGACAGACTTTCCAGTTTCGATATCGCTGTATTGTTTCCGACAAAATCCTTAGTTTGATTCTCTCTATGAATTCTTATGGCTGAGCTCCGGAAGGAACTTGTTAGCCTAATCGATTCAATAGTTGAACGGGACGACGGAATAGCGAGCAGCTTGAGACTCCCTTGTTGAATGTACGCATGTGGTAGAGGTTTGACGAACGTAGTGACTGTTGCAGCCCGATTGCACGGAGACGAATACTTCTCGTCACCTCATCGATTCGAGAGATCCCCAAGTCGCTATCGTCAGCGGCATCAGTATCATTACCATGGTGCCGCTGCGTCAGGCTCTGCTGTGATTAGTAGTAGGCACACGAGTCCAGAGTATAGAACCACCTCGTTGAGCCGACGGTCTAGATCTCCGTCGCCTAGTAGTCAACATTCCTCTCAACATCATGCGTCCTCGTCTCACCACCATAGACAACAACTTTGTAGATCTCCCACCCACAGCGAGTACTACGGTAAGTCATGGCGAAGGGCGCGGCTATTCCCCCGCAATCCATTGCAAACAACCATCCAAACATCGAACAAGCAACGACCAAGCCAAGCAACCTACAAAGCAAAGCTAGCAGGCTATTATTGCGAGCACCGCTCTTGCCCCCGATGATTTTGTTCGTCACAAACGGCATACTGGCGAGCGAGCGAAAATCCAGAGAAGCAGAGAGTAGAACAAGCGAGTCTATGGGGTGCATCTCGATACCTGAAGAATGTACATAGCGTTTCTCTGGCTGAACCTGTCGCGTTTTTTTTCCTTGATATCTTTTTCTATCTCTCTGTCTTCTTCACTCTTCCTCCTGCACAGCGGTTGCTGCAGTTTTTCCTGGATTCCTCTTGTTCGATTTTTGATATAATTTGCCCTTTTGCACCGGAGCATCGATTTCGTATTGCGGATCATCGATTAATATCAACAACTCAGTTTGATCGCGTTTGAAGATCTCGCTTCTCGTGATCTATTTCAATTTTTTCGAACTCGTACGATTCTATCGGATCAGCATTAGACCCGATCTTTTTGAGATCTTCGATGGGACTCCTCCAACATCTATCCCTACTCCTTTTTGAATCTTCCTCGGAAACCGTTATTTGCGCTGCTCTTCACGCACATTTTGACAACCCACGCTCTGAAATTTCGTTTGTAGGCACGACTCAACTGGAGCAGCGTTCGCGGTCTCCAAGTCCGGCGACGTCAGCTCAAAGCTTGCCAATCGCTGCAGGTGGATCTGGCCGGATTCGTAGAGCAAGAATGCTTCCGGCCATCCCAAACAAACCTTCTACTTTACTATTGCCCCATTCTGCCAACTGGGACGTCGCTGCTGACACCGACTATGAACTTCCATCTGTGGCTCATTCGCCTACACTGGCGCAGTACCACCAGGCTGGTTCGATCAACTTCCCGCGAGTGAGCGCGTCGCCCACTCATGCAACTCCGTCTCACGTCGCTGCAGCATGGAGCAGACATCAGCATCTGCAGCGGCAACAACACATCCCATCACAACAGCAACAACAACAATTATTATTACCACCGCCCTCTCAGCAGCAGCCGTTGCTAGAAGCGGACGAACAAGACTTCTCTGATTACGACAGATCGACAAGCTCCCAGCAACCCCTTTACTATGGGGACCTTAGGCACCCTCCGAGACAACTTCAGTCGCCAGTACAACAGTTACCGAATGGTTATAAGCCAGGCAAGTCCGATGATCCCTGAGGAGATAACGACTCGCTTCCATCACCTTTCATATTTTTTTATCCTGTGCTCTGCTGGATCCTTTCGTTCTGTGTGCTTTTCTGGGCTTTTTTTAAGTCGTTGCACCTGCCGACTCATCCCACCATCTAGCCCCAAATCGCTTAGTTAGTGAGTCTGGGGAATACCAAGAATCCAGAGGGACCTTCCTCTCCTCCCCCATGAATCGAAAGAACAAGCCTCGACGCTCGCTCGGACGATTCGACCAGAGAAGGCGGAGGGCATTCTGTTCGAACGATTACCAGGCTCCCACAATTCTTTACTCATTTCGCTCGGAATTCCAGGAGACCCACTCTGGGGAGGGCTACAAAAACCAAGGGACACCATCATTGCCGTAAGAGCTCCCCGCGGCTATCACGATTCTGATGACGAGTGGTGTTGATTCGAGGATCCTTAGAGCAGCAAACCTTAAACCCGCATCGACAACGCCACTCCAAAATCGGATAGTGACGACCAAAACGAAGAATTGTCTCCTGATGTTGTCCATCGATGGATTCATTGGAAGGATCCAATGCCGAGAGGACGTCGCATCAAGACAGACAAACGCAATCGATTTATCTCGTGTTCCGAGGTTTTCATCAAATTCCCGCGGACGTACGAGCGATCACGTCCGCCGGATCCACAGCGAATCGAAGTTCTACTATGTATCCCGAATGACTCCATAGGATAACGGTTAGACTCTACAACAGTCGCCAGAAACGTGAACAAAACATCTCCCCAAGTTCCGAGTACACCGAGTTCACGCAAGCCACCACAACGATTGACCCTGCCGGACGATCTTCCCGTGCAGGAGGAAACTACAATATTAACTCCAAACATGTTCTCGAGAGTATGTCACAACAAGCAGACATCATGTCCACCTAGTCATTCCAACAAGCGATGGAATCTTCTACGAACAATCCACCATACATGTGACGCCCTTGTCTTACCTAAATCCCGGGGACAAATGCATCTACTCCCTTTCTTTCCTATGATACCTTGCCGTATCGCGTTCGGCGGAGTCGTCAATACCAGCGACGGCTGAAACCCGGTTCAAGCGCACAGAGAAACATCTCACGGAAAAAAGAAAGCTGTTCCTGACCCGAATCCCGATCGAGTGTCTCCCGATCACGAGCCCAGAAAAACCACCGTGGTCAGACCCTCCTTAGAATTACTGAGGTAGACCCCCTAGGGATTACCCCGATTGACGTGAGTCGATCCGTGTCGCTTCGAACTCTAGCAGAGTCGAAACACCGATTAGCCGAACGGCAAGTCAAACCTCACGGCCGGGTATTCGCCCTCTTCCTGTCTAAACTTGCAGGTTGAACTTCCGCAGAAACGTGCCAGCAAATGCCAGCGCATGACGAACAACATTCTCTGACCTTCAAAGGTCTGTCCCATGAACGAAGTACATATCGACGAGAAGGCCACACCGTGGTCGAAATCAGACTTCGAGGAGCCAAAACTGGAAATTCGAGTTGATCGATTGAGAGAAAAACTCAGCAATCGAATTCACACCGGATGAGATTCTCCAGGATTCTCATCCGTGAGGGGTTTTCCCGCCGATAGGGATGTTCAACCGTGCAAATTCTTCTCACTATCTACTTTCCTCTGTGAACTTCCTTGTCTTCACACCTCCAACGTCTACGGGCATGTTCTCCTCTATTCGACTCCGTGTTTCTGCATCGACATACACGAAGAAAGCACTTCATTCTTCCTCTACGGGTGATGCAGTCCCGGCTCAAGTGAACGAGGGAGAGCTTCCCCAGGAAGCGTCTCTCAGATTCGAAAACCTGTTCCGGAGTCCCAACCCGACGACGACCCATGTGTGTAATCGCTGTGTCTGTTATCGAGCAGTTCCAAACAATCAGTCGATCAATCATCAATTGCCCATAACCCATCGGAGCGTGCCTATCGATACCATCCGGTCGACCAATCTAGACTTATCTATCGATGAGTTCGTGAACTTTGATTGCGCCCCTTTATCACCGATTTTTATCTCGATATGAACTCTGTGAATCTTTGATTCGGCATGGACGCATGACATCTGTTACACGTGGAGAGATGTCATGCGGACAAGCTCTCCAAGATCTCGGGATCATCGGTCGGGGAATCGTTGCTGCCGTGCATCAATCGACCCATTCCCCGAGCGAATCTCGACACGTGACTAAAAAGAAGAGAACTGCCAAAAAATCATGCAATAACATATGATAACGTCATTCAACAAGCCGTACGAAATGATCGCAGACGAATCATCTCAACCATCCAACAACCAACCAACATTGCATCTCTACGGACACCATTGACTAGAATGAGAACCAAACAGGATAATTCACGACATAAATGCATTCTTATATGTACCTGTTCCACCGACTGTCAGGGTGAAGGCTGACGTGCCGGTGGAACACACTCGATCATGAATGATGACCCAATGCAATTTACCCCGAGTCCAACCAACCCAACTAATATACCGGACCCCCCGACAAACGAAGTCTGTCCACAACACCGACAAAAGAGAGACGAAGTAGGATCGCTTCGCTCGCCAAGTTTCTGTCAGGCGAGCTATGCGATCGTTGCTGTCGAGGCAACTGACCATCTTTCCCAGAACAATTACCCTAACGGGAAACTTCGTCGAATTCCAAATGTACAAAGTCAAATCAAACGTCTAGGTCGTTCTCGTTCATGTGAACAGTATAAACTCTAAGCTATTTTGTTCTGTTTGTGACCGTCTACCCGAAAGATCCACTATTCTGTGATATTACCCTTGCCCGACACTTCGCCTATCCGCTCATACCTAGTTCTCCCAACAAGAGCGTTTACCATTGGGGGAACCTCGTTCTCCGAATATGAATCGGGAGTGAGTCTTGAGAGAGACGTGCGTTCTATCGAGATCTGGCGGGTTCTTAAAATTAGAAGACCGGATACTTATTGCAGTCCTGAAAATTTTCCCTGGAAAGACACGGAAATATATTCGCGAAGAATCAGCAACGTAATACTTGGAGGGCCTCCCGGTCCGCCATGATAGGAGTGCTCGATCGCTTTGGCTCGCTCAGAACCTCTGAACGACGCTCACTCAGTCGCAATCGAATCTAGCGTCCGTTGAGCCTCTGGCTCCGTTTTCGTTCTCACCTAAATAAGCATGAAGTTGAGCATTAGCATTGTCATATCGCTATACCAAATATTGACTTCCGAAAAACCATCCGAGGATCTGAAAATCATCTCATTCTCGAAAGGAAGGAGGCAGAAATATACGACAAGCCCGAACGGTCTTCCCTTGAGCCACCTTGCATTTATTCGTCATCGGGGCTTCTTGGAACTACCGTCGGTGCAGTCGCATCCCGGAACTTGATTCTTCCCGGAAATTTCGGACGAATTCGATGCGATGGGGAAGAGCAGCGTTGCTTCTTGATACAATTCGATGCGGGATCGACTCTACCCGAGGGATCGTTTCGGCTCCCAGCCAGTGGAGGGCGGACGCGCAGATGGCCGAAGACTCTCAGCCATGAGCGAAAGCAAGTGGATGAAGCCCCGCAGGATGTTTACGATCACGAATTTTTTCAATGTGCTGCTCTGAGCGGCTTTGAGGTTCAGAATGAAGCTTCCGAGGAAACTCCTCTGCGCGTGAACGGAAACACTTTCCGCGGAAGTCGCTCAGGGACTTCGGGGGAGCCATGAGAATGTCGATATTCTTCGGCGATCCTATCGAGCGCATCCTCCCTTAGCGGGAGACTGTCCCCGAAATTCACACATCCATTATTTTGCCCTTTTAAATACGGGAATCGATACCGACTCTCAGCGAGCTTGTATGTTCCGAGCGACAATTCCTACATCCAGCATCATAAGGACACAGAGAACTGAAGTTTATACGGAAAGATCGATTTCTCATGGGTATCTATCAAACTTGAATATGCTGCGAGGAACGCCTTGGGCAAGCACAAGGGAGGAGTTTGCTCGGAAGTGAGAAGGGCGCCGAAAAGAATACTCGCTTAGAGAAGAGGGAACACACGTCTGCGTTATCCTCGCATAATCTCATCGAGAAATATTGTTCTCTTGATGAGGATGCTTGTACCTTCAGTTGAAGTCGATACGGAACCCCTTCATGCTTTGACGATGAGAAGCGTGGGAAATTAGCCTAAATGTTCCCCTCTATCGATGAATCCTCTGGCATTCCGGGGGCAATCCCGTCCGAAACCGAAGTTTCCGGTCGAACCTGATTACCGAGAAGGCAGGAGTCGGGATGGTCCCTGATCTCTTTAATCTGCCACTGAATCATTTCGAGGCATAGGATAGAGATCCTGGAAGTCTGGAACAGTTTCTCAGCTCCTATGGGATTCTGACTAAGACTTTTTTTCCAAGTTCTCTCGATTTTCTACTCGTGAGCTGGACATTTTTCTGGTCAGATGGATTTAGGTAGGATTTCGAGACATTTTGTGGCTTGACCGAATAGCTCGCAACTCTGCGAAACTGTTTTGTCAACTCGTGTTCGGAAGGTTGAAGTTAAGACCTCTCTATAAGATGGACTACTAACAGAATGTTGTGACTGCGGGAAAGATGAACTGCCAAGTGTTCAAAGGATTCAACAAGAAGTTGTGCACTTACTTTATGACGTGTTCATGTCGCGAACTTTGAAATGTATGGATACGGCATTACATATAAGAGTGATTTCATTCGTATGAATATCATTGATATCGATGTTGTTGTCATCAATGTTTATCATCAATTCCTATCGTCGGCACGAGATTTTCCATCACACGCTCTCCTCTGGTCTTCTGAAATTCCTAGATTCATGCGCATATACCCAGTCCTGGAATCTGTTATGATCAGAGCTAACACCGACGGTGCGTTGCGGAAATTTTCAAGTTAGTCGCTCCTTATCGTGAAAACTGATCACGCGGAACTCACCTTTGAGAAGAACCGCGCATGAGAATTCCCTACGAGAAAAAATCGGGACGGCTGCAAGACCCTGAAGATGGTAGGCAGACCAAATATCGCTGGGAACCTCCAGATCGAGGGGAGACTCAAACTGAAAAGGTTTCCGAATATTGGAGAAGGGACGAATGTGAGAGGGAAGATCCGTTCAGACCTCAACTAAGCTCTGAATCGGTGGATACAGTGTTTTCTGCAGCAGTTTTTCGAAAATTTTCGATCGTTTTTCTGCTCGATATATGCAGATCGAAACTCCGCGTGGTAGAGAGAGAGCGGAAGGGGGATAATCGTTATTCCGAGCATCAGGTGACAGCTTACGGAAGCTCGAGATTGAAAGGGACCTGAAGCTCGGGAGCCTCATCTAAATCATCGTTGACGTTTGGAATGAAATCCGGTTGACGCGCGTCTGTGAGGAGCAGACAAACCTGTTGTTGTGAGAATCTTATCGACTGACTATTGAGTAGACATCAGCGGTCATTGATAAATTCAAATGTTTGCATTATTTAAATACCTAATGACTGAACATCTCATAATCCTTCACACCATTAGTATCACGAATCACACATACAATGTTCAACATGCCTTCTCGCACCCCACTGTCTTTTTACCGGTCCTTCGAATTATTTCACCATACCATAAACTTGTAATTCGGCACATTCCTGGTCACACAGCACCATCGAAACGCATCCCGATTCGAGCAGTAGGTCAGAACTCACGCGAGATGTCCTCATAGTGTGCCGATAGAGCTAGCTCTGCTTGATAGCGGTGAAATCATTTTAGCAGAAGCATATCATCATGTCATCATGAAACATGGATGGTAGCGAAAGGATATGGACATGTGTGGCGAGTCGATGTGAGTTTTGTAAAAATATAAGCGAGATCACAAGACGAGAAACCAATGGTCTACACCGATTAGCACGCTACCCTTCTCATGTCCGGTTGAGAGAGGCGCGGGGTCTGAGCTTCGAACCAACGCGAGGACCGTCGCAGTGTCATTTTATACTGATGCGAGTGAAGAATGGACATGAGGATCATGACGAGGGTTATGATGTTTTACTGAATAAATAAAGGGAGGCAGCAATCTGAAATCCTTGATGTCTTTATTCTCATGGAGATGAAAGGAGAGATCCCTCAATGGAGACACTGGCAGCCGTTACTCTGGATGCAACTCCGTGGGCGACATCAGCGGGTCTTCGACTCCGAACGATCTCCCCGGAGCCGACCTTCTCCTTCTGCCTCGAAGATTAGGGTCGAGCGGCTCCTGTACACTTCACGGATGATAATAATCACTCTTGAGGGAAGTCGCTCTGCAAATTTAGACGAGCTCTGGCAGAGTGGCTCGTATCGGGGGTGGAGGAGTGCTCAGCGTGTCAGATTCTTCCGCTAATCCCGAGGCGATGTATGGAATAACAATCCGTCAGAGGTCGCCACGGCGCTGCGGGACTAGGCATCCCAATGGAAGGGGGGGGGGGGGTCGAGATTCCGGCTGCAGGGGAAGTTTTCAGGATAGTCCCGGTCCCGACCCTTCTGGGTCTCCATATGGGCTCGTTAGGCTCTCTTCCATGGGAAGATGTCCGATCTGCAGACGACGCTCGTCGGAGCGAACGTCATCTTGATGATCCCCCAAAGGCGTCGAAAGGACACTCCTCTCATCGCCGGTTCCGACAGCTTTGTTGGAACGGGTTCGTGCCGTACCCTCGAGCGCTGAGAGGGAACATTCAATCATCCGCGTGTAGTTTCCCTTCCTCGAGGATTCGGATACATGCATCTCTCGCGTGCATCTTCTGTATACGTGAAACCTCAGGAGAGGGTCCTCGGTCGGAGCCTGACCAGAAAACTGATTCCGTATCGCTGAACTCCATCATTCGTCACTATTTTCGAGAGGTGTTGTCTAGGGTCGTCGTGATCCAAACTAGTCACCTACATATTCATGTGCAGTACTCGTACTCGGAAGACGACAACTTGTAAAGGTACGGTCAGACTAGCTTTCGAGCAGCTCTACCTACATAAGTAAGTCTGGGGAAGGCCCAAGATGTTTTGTGTTCCGCACTCGATCCGCACTGAAAACTGTCCACAGCTGCGCTTAGTTTCCGAGCGAAATCCAGCGCTTAGCAAGTCTCTCTCCCTCAGGTGACGCGTGGAGGCGCCATTCGGCGGACATGGGTCCCTATGGACATAGAGGCCTGCTGTGACTGAGAGCACTGACGAGAGCAGAAATGCGGCTCCGTGGATGCTGTCCGTGCCTGCGGGGGGATGCGGTGTCGGACGAAGAGACAGTGAGCATGTCCGCTTTCCACATTCCGCCAAGAAGAAGGTCTGACTATCAGGGTGAGTCTCGGATTGTGATATGACCGCAGCTCTCACCGGAGCGGACCAGCTTTCTTTTCGAGGGGACCGATTCGCCGGGAAACACGATGTCGATTATCAGGCTCGGTCGAACTCAGGTTTTGATGAAATCTCTGACGATGGATCGTGCCGTTCCCGATCGGCATCCACAACGTCGTCGACGTACATTCAGCCGCAGCTCTATGACGATACTCTCGAAAGCAGTGATGATTATACTCTTTTCGGACCGCCATCCCTCGAAGACCGGGTGAAGCGGGAAGACTTGGACTCTTCGTTCGGAATAATTCATTTCACTACGAAACTTTGTTTAAAGAAGTGAGTAAGGGCGCGTTGTACTCCATCAAGCTTGATCCTAATTTCACAGACTTCATATTATGCTCTAACTTTCGGCTGGTTGTTCCCCTTGCGGAACCCGACATTGGCATCGATTCGGAATGCCGGAGCCGAGGGATTCCGCGGAGTCGACTGAGAACTATGGCCCAAGCCGTCAGCTCAAACATGGTCCACTTCCAAACATCTAGCTGTCTGGTGCTCAAACTTGCAGTTTTCGCTCCGACGCTGGCCTTGACATTATCGTGTTCTCGCGTGTGCTCGATGACCTACTTCCATCTGTCGAGCGTCTCAGGCTCTTGCGTTTGCAGAGTCACCGTACAATTATGCGATTTGAGGGGACTCCCGGCAAAAGGACCTCAACGAACTCGAGCGTATTGGACGGCAGCTCGAGTCTGCGTTCGGAAATGCGCGAAAAAATGTCGAGCGGTCAGAGGCAACGAAAGAGACACGAAAGTGCAGCTCAACGAGGAGCTCACATTCCTGGGATCCGAGGGCGATACGGTTCAGGTGATTAGTGAGTTGTGCTAAGAATCAACTGAATCGCACCTGTAAGTTTTAGCGGGCTTTCAACCGTCCAAGATTTCTCCTTCTCCTTTGGATAGATAACAGTTTTTGAGGAGAGCGACCGAGAGAAACCCCTGAATCGAGTCGACATCGTTGGACACTGCGAAGTCACCCTCGAACGGACTCAATTGAACGGCACGGAAGACCAAGACTCCGGAGAGGAGCGAGGACATACAGTGAAGCTCACCCAGTCCTTGGTAAGCTATATTCCCTCGAAGGAGGTCTAGAATGCCTGCCCCTCCTCTTTTTGAGACTTTTCTGGTCCGAATTAGGTGTCGACGCCCCTGGGCCAATTGCTGCTATCCCTGCATTATGAAGACCTCTCGCAACTGACGGTTGCTGTGATCAAGACCAAAGGCCTACAAGAAGCATCTATAAAAATCGTTTTACGGTGCAATGGAGAAAAGGTTTGTGGAACAATGATAGAGGATCGGATCCTCGGTCTTTACGAACTCCGAGGGTTCATCGAGCAAGGAGAACGAGCCTAGTCACCGATGGACGAATCTGAAATTATCACAGGTGAAGAAAGGACGCATCAAAGGAAATGGCCCCATCTACAATCAGTCTTTCAAGTTCATTCTCCCAGAACAGTTCGTCCCATCTTCGTCAGTGCTGTTGACCCTAGTCGGTCGCCAGAGGAAACAAGCGGGATTCTGCATAGCAGGTCCTTGGTGCACCTTCTCCGATGGCAGGCTGACTCAATGGGGTGAAATGTTGATGTTGAAGAAAGCTGTTGTACAGTGGCGATACATTTATCCGCTGCCGTGAGTTCATAGGTATATAGAGGCTACGGAATAAACTTTTTACCTTTGAGGTAGAGGTTTTTGGATGATACAGGTTATTCGTGGGACCGCTTCCCGTCAGGTCCAATCCTCTGTTTCTAAAGCGATCGGATACCTGTCGGGAAGCGGGAGACGTCCCCGTCTCAAGGTCTCGAAGGGTGTATAGTGTCGTGATCTTGGTTCCTCACGAATGATGGAGAACTAGTGAGGCAGTCTGGGATCATCGCGGACTTCCACGTGAAAATATTACATCGGGATCGTGGGTCGAGTCTATCAGAATCATCCAGCTAATCGGCATTTTTATTCGATTACAAGTTCAAAAGCGGAGCGGGACGTGTCTGATACTCTCTAAGACAGCGGTTCTCAACCTGGGTTCCGCGGAACCCTGGGGTTCCGCGAGCCCCTGCTCGGCTGCTCAGACTTTTATTAATTTTATCGGATTGGAATGATTTTTCTGAGCTCTAATGCATGCAGGATACTTCATGCGACCGTGGTCGGAGGTGATTAAGGGGAAAATTTGGAAAGATAGAGTCCGAAACCAATGATAAGGGTTCCGCGGAACCCCACAAGGGTTCCGCGGGGCAAAAAAGGTTGAGAACCGCTGCTCTAAGACACCCGGTGGGGACCGGTCTCAGAGTATCTCCCCGGTCAGGTATACAGGTGGCACTTCAGGCGAGCGGGTCACGATCATGAATACTAGGGCCCCTTAGGCCTGGTTTGGCTCTTGCCCCGAGAGACTCAGGTTGGACAGAGGGGGCACTTCTCCCCGCTCGCCAGATCAAAGCTGCGAATTATACAAAGTACGAGTTATGCTCGGAACGAATTCTAAAAGATTCGAGCCTTCGCTATGCTCCGTAACCAGCGCTGCGGCTCGAAAGATTCGCGTTCCCGAGCTCTGGTGAGGACCCTGCCTCCTTCAAACGGGGGATCACGAGCAAGTTTCCATAGTGAACGAAAAAGGCTGTCCCCCGGCTGTCGGACTTGTACGAGAGCTGTTCTCTGACCGACGTCTGAATGATTCATCGCCATCATGGTTCGCCCGTGAGCTTAAGTGAATGATTACGAAAAGGCTACAAACTCGATTGCATCGCAATTAACAGCGCAACTGATCGGAGAAGCTGAAGCGATGCCTTTGGGTCAAAAGCACATTGCCTCCGCGTCTTTATGGAGGGCGTATGATTTCGAACAAGTGATTCATCGAAGATCCATGATTATCATCCGAATCGAAGAAGAACATGATAGGTGCAACCGCAAACTCTCCGCAAACGCTCCCACCGAAGATTCATTTTACCTGCAGATTTGGTAGGAGGAGCTCGGAGACTTCCGGAAATGTGAGCCCCACCGCTTGGAGCCCAGATGACGTCTCTGCTCATTGTGATTGGCGAACTTCAATTTATCCCCCCAGCAAGCCACCGACATCAGTCTTCCCCATGTCCAGCGTCACAAGCTCTACACTGTACCCGTCGCTTGGTGCAATCTTCGAGTCGACTTGTAGCCGCGACGTTGTCGAGAGACGGCACCTGGGATTCTCCTGCGGACGGGGCGACGCCGGCCCCAGAGGTGCAAATGAGGCCCTCTGATGCGAGCAGCTCGGTGCTTTTTCCAGTCCATGCGACATGAGCTGATCGAAACCGATTGACTGCTTGCTCGGCCAACGGTTCGTCTGGCGACTTGCGGACCGAGTGACATAAACACAATCAGTGGAAGAAGTGTTCAAGTGCTTTGCTGCTCTAATCCTTCGCTGCCGGCCGCTTTCCCAGGAGAATTCCCGGAGCCAGTGGCCAAGAGTTGATTTCTAATTTCAAAACTTTGCCGGTCTCCCGAGAAGCGCCGACGGACCTACGGACGAGAGCTGAGCACTGCCCCGTGCTTCTCCTCCTCCGCGAGCTCCAGGAAACTCGTTTTGGGTGGTAGCAGCACTCCTTTCTGCCGCTCACTGGATTTGTGGAGCCTTGTTGACTGACAAGTTCGATAAGTCGGTGACCTATCGGATGTTGAATACTCACGTGTCGCAGCGAATGAATCCCATCTACGCCTGGCGTTCTTGATTACGGCCGCCGGCACGCTGCTTCAACAGCCAGCGTCGTTGAACATGAACCCTTCTGTCTCAGGTGCTCGGAATGCCGAAAATTCTGATGCCGTCCGCCAAATGTTTACGTGATATTTTCATGGCACCTGGAGAGCTGAGCTCTTTCGTCCTCTCCGGAAGCTCGATCGAGTGATCACCGACGAGATGACGGAGTGATTGGCGAGCTCAGCGCTCCGGGTACAGCGCTTCACTTCGAAGGTCGACATCTTCAATTCATGGAAGCTCACAGAACAGAGGATTGCCTCTTGCTCCTGCTCCCAATCTGACTACCGTAGGACTCCGCTCTTAGTGGATCAAGTTTATCAATGCTTCCCGAACTCAGTGCGGGTGTTGCATCTTCGGTAGAGAGATCGACGTTCTGTAGCCAGCCGACACCGTTGCCCCGTCCATGCATGAGAGGAGGCCCCCATAGGAATTCATCTAGGCCTGGATAGTCTGTTTCCGCATCCTCCCGTACCTTGAATAAATCTGAAGTCTTCTTGCGGCGATTCCCGCCTACCTCGCCGAAAGTGACGAATCGGAACCTCCGTACCGAGCTTCCATCAGCGGAAGAGCAAACGCTCCCCGGAATGAGCATGAGACTGGTTTGGCGCCTGATTCGGCTGTCTCGCTGAATTCGGATCGCATGTTGAAACTCTCCTCTCGCGAGGCTTGAGGCCCAGCACAAAAGAGAATGCCGCGACCCGATGCTCCATCGGAAAGGCCAGATATTTCCCTCCGATACCCTGTATGGGCATTGAGGTGCTGGGGTAGGAAGATGTACTGAAGAAAAATGAAAGTCAAATGTTAATCCCCTCAATGTACCTCAAGCGGAACTCGAGCCATTAGAGCGAAGTGTAAAGGATCGGTGCGATCGGAGGGAAACAATTCGAAAGAAAAATAGAAGAGAGCAGCTGAGGGCCGCCTCCGGAATCGGGGAAAGGGGATATTTTGAAAGGAGAACCGAAAGGAGGAACAAGGGCAAGGAGTGTTGCAACTTCTCAAGAACGCAAGCGATTCAGGGCGGCGCAGCGCATCTTGTATTCAGGAATCGATTTTTCTTCGCGAGCTCCGTTTGCCATGTTCTCGTCATACATATATCTCCTCGGACAAGATGTTCTTCGCTTGCTTTGAGCGGCAGGCACAAGCAGCCTACGTGGCTGCTTTCCACTAACGGAAGGAAGCGGCAGTCAGCCATTGCGGTAAAGAGTTTACGGACGACGCCTGTCGCGGGGGAGAACGACGAGCTAACGCTCCTAGCACAAGCTCAAGGAAATATAGAGAAACTTGAATTCATGCACCAGTATTCAGCTATGATGAGGACGAGAGAAGAGAACGAAGAGCGAAAGAGGATGAAGGAAACCACTTTGTGAATGGAATTCGATGGAAGAAAGCGCGATGGAGGCCGCGCCGCATCCATCGACTTTAAAATTCAAATCTTCATTTAGCTCCAAGCCGCTGCTTTCGACATTAAGAACCACAGCAAGAGCTCCAGCAGCAAGCGTAGTCGTCGCCGCCGCCGCTGGCATCGGTGACAGCGGAGCTGTTAAAGAATCTTCATCCGAGCGTCTCCCAGTTGCGATTTGAGAGACACGCCTTGCGACTGAATGTTCAAGGAAGCGAGCTTGGAATTCAGGTATGAATCTGCTTGTCTGTCCTAATGGTGCCCCGGTGCTAAGCAGGCGTTGAGTGGAAGCGGCGCTCACGCGGACTGGCTGACTGACTAGAGGCGATTGCAGCGACCGATGAAGCCATTCGTTAGAGCACTCAATGAAGGCTCCAAGCTCTGCTTGTACACGACTGTTTCCACGATTAAACGCAGGATTCGAATCCGTTCATCAGAGGAGAAGCGTGTCGCCTGGCGAACGCGCAGACGATATGGAAGTTCTCTGATCATCTGTATCCGCAGCCCTCAGAAGTTTCGAATGCCCCAAAAAAAAGAGTCAGCGGCTCGCGGAGAGGAAGAAAGTTTTCTCTCTCTGTCTCCGATGCCAACAATTCGAAATAGAATCTTCTCGCCGCGTCGGGGATCGACTTTGTTCGTGGGTGGTGGATGGATGCCTGAGCGAGCGGGTGGGGAGCGCAAGGGGGCCGTCGTCGTCGGAAGTAGCGAGAGCGCTGGACGAGCGGAGAAGCAAAATAAGAATCAGGAGCGATCTGGGATTAAGTTCACTTCTGAAGGGATTTCGAAAAACCCAACTCTATTTCAGGTGTCTGTGCGCCGTGAAATGCTCCAGAGGACAAAAGCTGCTCCAGGGACCAAAGCGGGAGCGGGACTCACTGCTTTAAAGTGTTCAAATTTTCGACGAGGAGCAGTCTGGACTTGATTGTGACAAATGTGTGGCTTTGTATGTGTGGAACTTCGTATGTTTGACTCTCCGCCCGCAGTCAGACTCGAAGTCCCTCCGTTAAGCCCGATCCTGATACGCTTGCCGGAATACCCTCTTACACACAAACACACTCACACACGAGTCCCGCTCACTGACTGTCCGAACAGACGGATGGAGCCTAATGGATGGTCGAAAGCATGACGGACCGATGAAAAGGGAATGGATGACTCGGCTTGCCGTTGGGAGAATCCGAGAGATTCTTCACAGTAGCGCCTCAGAGATTACGCAAGTTTCCGCTGAG